AATCATTTCGGTTTTCAATCGGGAAATCCCAAATCGTAGCAATTTATGGAATATTTCCGGACGCCACATACACATGAAATGTTTGTCTACCTTTAAGGGCCACGAACATATACTAGGTCTAGGAGATAAAATAGCAAAATTTGAGGCTCGAGCGTTAGCCACAAATTATACTAGGCACTGCAGCGTAAATTTTATGGCTCAATACTACCACAGTGAAATATATAATATTGTATACGTTTATGTTTAGAGTAAAATTCGTACAAATGCGTTTTTTTAAAAAGTTATATGTAATTAATATCGACGTTCAGGGAGAGCAGCTGCCAGAAAAATTGAAATGTGGATAAGTTGGGCAAATTTTAAACGTAAGTCGGGCAAATGTTGAACGTAAGTTGGGAAGAAATGAGAAAAAGAACAAACATGTAAGATAATAGTAAAAAAATGAAAGAAAATAGGGCAATGTTGCAAAACATTTTTAGTTTTTCGAATGTTTAATTCCGAAGTTTAGCAGGGAATTGGTCGGGCAAAATGCAAAAGTCGTGCAAATTTCGTTTTTCCCCATAATAATGCACGCTACACTTAGAAACAGTAAAATAACTTATGGCGGTCTCTCTAATCATGATCACTATATTAACTCTACCTTTGTGGCCTACTCGTTTCATTTGCAGAAGATACTACATAAGTGTTTAAAAATATGTTCGTATTCACATTAGGTATCATAAACTCACGATGATTTCTTAAACAATGATGCTGTACCATTCTTGTTGGAAATTGATTATGAATTTTATGATCCGGGCTGCTCCCAATGCTCTTAATTAAACAGTTTCAAAATTCTAGTGCTAGAAAAGGAAGTTTTAAATTATTTTTTAAGTAAAGCATTCATTGCTAAGAAGAACGCACTATTACTGTAAAATACATGGTTGTCTTAATCTAAGGATTTTGTTATATCGAATTTGACAAAGCCTAAGACAAGATTCTTCTCGCCTATATCGCGTGGCCTGGAGAGTTTTAATTAAGCAGTCCTTGTAGCCACAACTAGAGTAGATAATAGAAAGTTTTCTTAGTAATCAGATACCCGCGTAAAGCAAAATTTTAACGAACTTTGCTACCCGCAAATATTAATGTAATAAAAATTTAAATGGCTTTTCCCCCCGCTTTGAGTTGTTTCCGACGTCTCTGGAATAAGATTTCAAAAACCAGTCGTTGCTTTTGTTTCATCCTCTGCTTGATGAAAGATGTTTGCTTTAGAGCACGTTCGTATGAGATGAGCCGTGGTCGGGTAAACTAAGATGAATCACAAATGGCGAGATGTCGCCTCGTATATCGCCTTATATGTTTTCGACATTTGATTCACATGAGAACTGGTCGGCCCGGTTTGCCATGCATACGCTTGAGCGAGGCGATTTCTCGCCTTCCCGGGTTTATACGAAGTAGTAGGGAAGGGCTGGTTCTGGCTCATTTTGAAAACAGACCCACCTCCCGCGCATGCGCCTAATACCCTCAACGCTTACCCTTCCGCGCATGCGCCAACTGCCATCTATCGCACCCGCCCCACCCGACTTCAAAAGAATTTTAGAACCCCACCCAAATCCTTGTCTACGTATCTAATAAGAAGAGTATCCGCTGAATGTTTTGTTTAAGGGCGCTGGTCAATGATGCGTCCAACTGTCAATGCGACTGTCTACGGAAAAAACATTTGCTCCGCCGACAGGACTCTACTTTGACGACCTTTCCGTATAGATCAACATTTAAGCCCCGTTTACACTACGCTCAATTTTTGGTACGGCATGGATAAAACTGATACCCGTAGCACTTTTTTGGTTCTTGGACTACCTATCCAAGAACCAAAAAGTGGTACTGTACCAAAAATTGAGCGTAGTCTAGACGGGGCTTTAAAAATAAGAATAACATCCTAGGGTAAATAAATGGAATGGAATGGGATGGAATCCCACAAAGTCCAATTTGAAAAGAAAATGGATGAGATCGTTTGCATGAAGGATTTTGTTCCGGCCGATGACGTCACGCTGACGATGGTTCCGATCTGGAATTTGGAGATTGTAAACAACGTTTGGAACGGTGATCTGAAGCGAGTTCTTATTCACACGGAAATGAGGGACGACATGGAGATTTCCGAAGCTCGGAAGGGGACAAACCGTGGACCTTAATGGATGAGGAAGCGAGGGAGATTGGTGAGGGTCTTTGCAACCTTACGGGTGAAATTTACGTCCCACCGGAGTGCAGGAGTAGGACTGCTGGGGGAGAAGAGGAGGAGGAAGAGGTGATGTGGACGGAGATGGAGGAAGAGGAGATGCGGGCGGAAGCTGAGATGAGGGAAGCCATGTATGGACAGATTGGTGAGATATCGGACATGTTCGATGGTCTTACGATGTGATTTTAATGCATTTTTCACATTAAAATTTGAAGACAAAGTTTTCCTAAGGTAAATAAAAAACCATAAGATTCCGAAGGATTACCGACAAAGTCCAACTTACTTCAATTGTCCAAAAAAATGGAACAGAAGTTATGCAAAGAGACCGGTTGTTCGGATACGACCCTGATTGTATCGACCAAAAATTTCGCAACCGACAAACGGGCTAAGCACAGGATCGGGTTCGGAAAGGGATGGATGGGAGAGTATGCCGAGATTCGGTATGTTTCCCACCGGCACCATCAGGGTATGAAAGGGATCCACGTTCTCGTATCCGTTAGTTCCAGAGTTCGGGTGACGAGCTGCTGGCTGGAATGTCCGACGAGTCGGATCCATTTGGGAAGACCTACGGATCTTTTGGAATGGTATTCCAAATCGGATACCCTGGAGCATGAGGAAATGAAGGAAGATGTCGATCATCCGCAGCTGGTTGCGCTAGAGCGATATGGTTACGTAGCTTTTGAGATTGATATTTAAAGGTAACGTTTTCCTACAGCAAATAAAACCATGGTTAGAGAAAATACGTTCGAACATTATTCCGGAAAAACTAACTACGTTCAAAACCAAAGGCACGACCGTGGCAGAAACGTTGCAAAACATGCATGGAATGGGCATATCGTAAGGGAATAAACAAGGATTTCTGGTGTAAACACAAGAAACATAATCTTAATTTTTTTTAGGAAAAAAAAATGTTAACATTAAGGGAGCAATTTTTAATCTTGATAACATTCTGCTTGACGTCATGTTTTACAATCATAACATTACTAAATCCGACATCAATGACCTTACTAATTTATTTTGCTAAAGCATTTTTAATGAAAATTTATAATTAAAAATGTTAATTTATTCCTTTTTCTGTGTAAACACAAAAAACATGATCTTAATTTTTTTAGAAAAAAAAATGTTAACATTAAGGGAGCAATTTTTAATCTTGATAACATTCTGCTTAACGCCATGTTTTACAATTTTAACATTACTAAATCCGACATCAATGACCTTACTAATTCATTTTGCTAAAACATTTTTAATGAAAATTTATCATTAAAAATGTTAATTTATTCCTTTTTCTCCGGACAGCTTACCTTAGCAATGACAACGTGTTTTCCGACAATAATTCCAGCACTTAATATTCCAATGAGCGGGATATATGGTGTTATGTAACCAACAAGGTTTCTTAGGTCTTTTCTGAGCAGCTTGTTTTCCACGAGTAATTCCTTTTCCATTCCTTCGGAATATTTGACAGCTTTCAGTTCTCCCATAAGTTCGGTAAACTTGGCGATGAGGATGTCGGTTTGTTGGTTGTTTGTGTTCTCCAGTTGCTGCCTTTCGTAGTCTTTGTATATACTCTCTAGTGTTTTTTTCGGATGCTTTTTGATGTATTTTGCGGTGTAGTTAATTTCGCCAGCGTCAGCTTGTTTTAATAGTTCTTCCCTTGCTCCTGGTGGAGCCGCGGACGGTGCGTCACTTTAAAATTAATTTGCTCCACATGTTCCGTAGGCAACCTCGTTCCCAGGGTCTCTCCTTCTGTCATCTGGGAGAGACCCTGGCTGCGGCTGGTCACGTGCCTCCCAGATTCTGGGAGGTAAATTTAATTGTAACTGTGAAAGGGGTGGGAAAGGAGCGTGTTTG